AACAATTTTAAAAATTAAAGGGGACAATGCATCATTTCTCAAGTGTAATGACTTTTATAACATACACATGCATGTCGAGTTACTCATAAGTAAGGGCCCCTAGAACACAAGTAGCTCCGCCCCTGCCCTCACTTGTAACGCCAAACTCTTTTCGTCTTTTTCACACAACACGCATTATATTATACACACATGCAGGTCTGTGCTGTGGTTTATTTTTGGAGTGAGAAATACAAAGTGTGTGTTCTGTGTGTTGTAGAGAGGGAAAGCTCGTAAACTTCGGGAATGGCGGAGGAGGAAGTGAGCAACAAGCAGATAATTCTGAGGGACTACGTGAGTGGATTTCCCAAAGAGTCCGATATGATTTTCAAGGTGACTATCGTCAAATTGAAAGTTCCAGAAGGTTCGAACGCTATTCTGATGAAGAATCTCTACCTTTCCTGTGATCCCGCCATGCGATTTCGCATGAAGAAGATGGAAGGGAGCTACGTCGATTCCTTCGTTCCTGGTTCTGCAAGTCTTCATTTCAAAACATTAAACTTGTTGATGAACTTTACCATAATTTGAATCTGTTTGTCCGTTATGATTTGTCAGTGTCTATAGTTTTTATTAAATCGCAAGTTGTATCTTTTTAATATTATTGTTATTTGATTCGAAGTTAATTTCAATCTTTCTCCCTCTCGAATGAGCATGCATGTTTAGCAGATCATTCTAATGAAAGGATTCAGTAGTATCAAGTATGTCTATAAACAATATCTAAACCACTTAATCAGGTTCTGCTGTTGTTGATCACGGCATTACTTCTACAGTTTTAGGAGATGGATTTGTTTTTGAACAATTCTTAAAGTACTGTGTTACTACTATAATATTGTAATCCAGCGGAAGAGGGTCTTATTGGAAATCAAACAACGGAATTTTTAGGGAACATTAGACCCTAAACAACGGATATACTAGTTATTGTTTGTGACAAAAAAATGATTGACAATAAACATATTATATTTACACAAAAAATCAAATCACAAACATAGAAGAGAGATAAATGAATTTAAACACCGATTGTAATAGGAGTGAGCGATGGTAGTGGAGGTCAGCGGTACTAGTGGTGGTGGGTGACAGTAGTGATGGCGGGTGGCATTAGTGATGGTGAGAAAAAGTGATGGTTATAGTGAACGGTGATGATTGTGGTGGGCAGTGACAATCGTGGTGGTGGTGGCAACTGTGGGTGGCAATGGTGATGGTGGTGGTGGGTTTTGAATAACGATGATAGTAGTGACAATCATGGGTGATGGTAGTGGTGGTGAGTGTGGGAGGTGGTGGGCAATGGTGATGATGGTTAGCAGTGGTGGTGGTGGGGCAACGACGTTGGTGGTGGGTTGCGGCGGTGGACGGTGATGATGGTGGTGGTGGATGACGATGGCTATTTTTAGGTGACAATGTGATAAGTGGTAGTAGATGGTGATGGGGGTGGTGGTAGGTATGGGCAGGGGTGGGTGACAATGATTGGCGATGACAGGTGGTGGTGGGTGCTGACCGTGGTAGTGGGGATGATGGTGGTAATGGTAATCAATATAAAAATGAAATAACGATGATAGTTGATGGTGGCAGTAGACGACGATAGTAACAATCGGTGGTGGATGACGATAGTGGTAGTGGTGATTGTGTTAAAGGTGGTGATGGGTTGGCAATGGTGGCGATGGTGGTGGGGTTAACGACGATAGTTGTGGTGGTGGTGGTAGGGCAACGAGTGGTAGTGATGGTGGGGCAATGGGGTTAGTGGTGGTAGGGGTGATGGTGGAATAGTGGTTGTAGTGGTAGGGTGATAGTGGCAATGGTGGTTGGGCGGTGATGGAGGCGACGATGGTGGTGGTGGTAGTGGTGATAGTGGTGGTGGGGGTAGTTGTGATGGTGGTGGGGTAGTGAGAGTGGTGGTGGTAGTGGTGATGGTGTGGTGGTTCCAAACATTACTTTTATTTCTTTTAAGAGAACTATGAAAAGTTATAAGTTTAAGAAGTATTTTTGAAAAGTCATTGTTACAATTTTAGAATTTATCACTCAAGTGCAGATTGTACAAAGTAATAAATTTCTTGGGAGTTCGAGGTCGAACCACAAAGAATTGTGAAAACTTAGAACACAAAGAAAAATAAAAGAAAATTGCTTTGAAAAAAAATTATTGTAAAGATTTTGAAATTATAAAACAATAAATTTGGTTTTTAAAATAATAATTAAAAATACTAGAGCGTTAAATACTTCCTCTCAAATCCAAACAATAATGATTAAAGACTTAGTTTTCAAACCTAGACAAGAATCAATTGTCGGTTGATTCAAGTCACCAAATTTAGCAATAAGACAAAGAAAACACATTTGTTTATAATCAAAAGTTTATTCAGGAACCTGAGTAATCCTCCAATTATATTATTATGTGAAATAAATGTAACCAAGTTAAGCGTGAAATAACTAGTAACCAATTATTTGACTCGCATGGAAATTCAAGTGTTCAACATATAAGATATAAAGACTCAAGAATTTTTACAGAGCAAAAATTTTACCAAAAATCAAAAATTAAATTAACAAAATATCACATATCATTAAACTCATAAGTCAATAACATTACCGTACTTCTTTGAGAGATCTTCCCTTAGTCCTAGTTGGGCTTTTAGCAAGCCATAAAAATAGAACAAAAACTAAAAAAAAAAAAAGATGGAAAAAGAATAATCCTAATTATCCAAATCATCCCCTCTCAATAGGTGAGAGCCTTTATTTATAGTAAAATAAATCCTAGGAATAGGTAAAAGATATAAGGCTGGATTGAGAAGAATTCATTTCCAAGAAGAAGTCTTATAAGATTAAATTCCGTGCATAAAATCTTGGGAGCCACGGGTACAAAATCTGTCCATATTTCGAGCTTAACTTTTGCATATTTAGAGGTTGAATCATGAAATATTAATACACTTTTGTAGCTTTTGAAATTTTCTTTCTAACCCCATAAAAATCAAGTCAATCGGATATCGAAATCAAAAGTTATGATCAAAATGCTGAAGATGTGTCAAATCCTTATCTTCTAGGATACTTTCCAAATCTAACTTTAAATGAGTTTTTTTTTCCTAATTTGGACTCTAATAAGAATTAAATTGCTACCATAGTTTCAAATATCTTAATCTTGACTCTTCAATCCTTATCAATTGTGATTCTTCCTCTACTGATTGTTTCACTTACCTTATCAATTATTACTTTAAATCAACCAATTTACCTGCAAAATAAACCAAACAACTAGAAAAAGTATTAAACTAGAAAATTAAGAAATTTAACACATTTAATTACAAATAATATGTAATTAATCAATCATTAAATATGATAAAATAGCACTTTTGATGGTTAATTACACTTCCAACCTGAATATTACTAGTCCCTAGTAATACTTGGATCCCAAAATCTAAAAACTAAAAATAAAATAACATAATAAAATAAAACACAAATTTACTTTCGTATGACTCACGGCTGCATTTAGCATACTCAACAAGCTTTTAAACCCTTAAATTCCCCCTAGTGGACGAGTATAATCTCATGAAGGTTTACAGAGATGTTACCCACAAACATCACCTTGTGATCAAATATCTGAATAGTAATTTTATAATACAAATTGTTACCACAATATAAAAATTCTAAGTTGTAAGCCTTTTTAATAAGCACATGCAAAGCAAAATATATAACTCTACACTATATGAATGTATACACATATCATGTTCTCATATAAAATCGTGTGTAGTGTGAATTAACTATACCAAGTTAGCAATTTGTCTGGTAATCACCTCTACAACTATCAACTATTCGTCTCAATGCCAAATTCTTAAGAAAGCAAAACCTTCACAAGGTAAAGAGTACCATTAAACCAAATCTCTATAAATACAATTCCATATCAAGTCCACCTCCGGAAGAGTTTAAGTCCACTGACCACTCTTCAGTTTATATAATGAAATGATCCCGAGTAATGTTGTATGAATTTAAAATGTTAATTTGATTTATTGGTTTGATCAATTATTATTATTGATTCAACTATGAATTTTAATATTTATTAGAACTAACTCCCTATTTAATGATTGTAATTGATCAAGAAAGCAAATCAAGTTTGTATTTTAAGTTCAAGTAACAGTTTCCAATGATCTCATAGAAGCTGTTGTAAAAGTATCGGATTAACCATAAGTCCAAATATAAGATTTTAGTACCCCCTCCAAACACCATTTATTAAAGGGGATTAAACTGATAATATATCACTCTTTACTGAATGCAGATAGTAGAACTTGCAATGTCGGAATCCAAGTTTAATACACTGGTAAGAGTGGATTTAATCAACAAATTTGGTTCAAATAAAATTAAGGCTTTAAGTAATTGACGGAATTAGGCCTATTAACGGATTGAATTCTAATCGAATTTGTACCGATTTAATTTTGATTTTAAAGAATCCGATCCGATTATTTGATGAATTTTATTCTTCATGTCCTGCCCTATTAAAAGTTAGATATTTGATCTGAATATCTAGTTCGACCCTAAAAACTTACTTAGAGTTGATAGTAACAAGTTATACCTGAAATTTAACTGAACTTGAATAAATCTAATGACATATTTGTATATTTAATTTGAAATTGGAATAAAATTGGATTGGATAATGATAAATTTGAATCTGAATCCTTGAAGTATGATCAATGGATTCGGGATGAGATTTGGATAATTAATGAAAAAAATAATCCATATTTCACTAATCGAATTTAAACTCAAATTGAATTTGAATGGAAATCTAATCAACTGGTAGGCCTAGTTGTAGATAATAGTATAAATAGATTTAGCCTCATATTTGTGCTCTAAATATGGCATCCATCATAGAAAATATTTAATGTAATAGTTATACAACAACAGCAGTGTCACGTGGTATAACTATTCACTAATAAGTGAATAAATAGACAAATGAATGCTACAAATTTCAATAGCCACCTATCCATATAATCCGATTACCATCCCAGTAAAAAATTGGGTTCACGTTATTCATTTTATAAGTTTTTTATTGGATGATGACACCAAGTTACACCCAATAAAAATTAAGAATAAAACAAAGAATTTGACCTGATCAAGTTCATTCATGACTGTCAAATTTGCGATGACCATTTCATATTATTATTTGATGGCAATATCAATGGTGGGTCGTATGGCCTCAAAGATAATGTAGTATGCTGCTTCAGTTGGGTGTATTGAATCCCAGAATACGTACTTGGAAGCATCTTCACAAACATTTGATTCCAAGTTGCAGGTAAATGAAGTTTCAAATAATCCGCTCCCACAACAACCAGTGCTAACCTCTTCAAAACCTACACAAAAAGGTAAACCAGATCAACCATTTGTCAGAGAATATTTTAGGGTTGCACAAAGATATACAGCATAAGAAAAGCAGCACCAACTACTGATAAAGGGATCGTATCATGCATGGACGGAGCCACCTGAGGAAGGTGGGGGGGGCCTCAGCCTGAAATTTTTGACTCCGCCCCTAGTATCATGTTTGTTCAGATTGTATTATTTCGTATTCTTATTGAGTAGTAGTCAATAGTAATCTTATCTATTGAAGTAAGCTGATTTGTTTGTTAATTGCATTGTGTTTGGATCAATACATGTAAATCTGTAAATCACATCACCAAGTCCGGGACCTCTCTCTTAGGTGAATCCACAACCAATGGGCTCCCAATAAATTAAAAATCCACTCGATCCAGATGCTAGAAAAATAAAAAATAATAATAATAAAATTCTCTAGCTTTATAACTATTCATATAATACTACATAAAAAATGTAGAAAAAAAAAAAGAAAAACATTAGATATGCTGTTCATACAGTATCATTTAAATAGTTTGTCATGCAAAAAGTGGGAAGTGGGTTATGTGTCTTCAACAAAAACAACACTTATTTATCATTCGTGATTGGCGAGTCTAGGTTGGGGTGTTCATGGGTCGGGTTACCACGAATACTGTTATTCGGCTCGAAAAAATAGACCAAAAACTTGATAGGCTCAATAGTTGGCTCGTCTGAACCCGAGTTAAATATCCTTTAAGAGAGGACTTGAACTTGCCCTCAAACCATTACCCGGCCCATGAGCCTGTTTGCAAAAACCCTACCCATGAGCCTGCCTGCCAGCCCAGCCAGTCTGCTCACTTAGCCCGTCTGCACTTCCACCCAATTGTTTGAAAAAAACTTAACTATTAAAACTTTAAAAGTTTGGCGGTAATATATGACTCTACTTTATTTAAATCAAATTATTTATTATTTAATTTTTATTCATTTTGACTCTACTTTAAATTCAAAAATATAATTTTAAAAAATATTAAGTTGAAAACATTTTAAATGAAATTGTATATATATAAAAAAAGGCCCGCCCAGCAAACCCACCAGCAAGGCTCGCCTAGTGAGTGGGGCGAGTTGAGTTGTGAATAGCCTATCATTTAAATTAGTTTGCCATGCAAAAAGTGGGAAGTGGGTTATGTGTTTTCAACAAAAACAATACTTATTTATCATTCGTGATTGGTGAGTCTATGTAAGGGTGTTCATGGGTTGGGTTGTCACGAGTACTGTTATTCGGCTCGAAAAAATAAATCAAAGCTTGATAGGCTCAATAGTTAGTCCGCTTGAAGCTGAGCTAAATATCCTTTAAGAGAGGGTTTGGACTTGCCCTCAAACCATTACCCGGCGTGCAAAAACCCTGCCCATGAGCATGCCCGCTAGCCTGTCCCAGCCTGCTCACCTGGCCCGTCTGCCCTTTCACCCAATTGTTTGAAAAAAACTTAATTATATGAAACTTTGAAAGTTTGGTGGTAATGTATGACTCTATTTTATTTAAATCAAATTATTCATTATTTACTTTTTATCCATTTTGACTTTACTTTTAATTTAAAAATATAATTTTAAAAACTATTAAGTTGAAAACATTTTAAATAAAATTGTATATATATAAAGAAAGGCCCGCCCAGCAAATCCACCAGCAAGGCTCGTCTAATGAGTGACGGGTTGGGTTGTGGATAGTCTACCCTTCCCTGAAGCCCGCCCTGCCTGATAACTCGCATGGATAAGGACTTGAGCCTACACAGCCTGCTCGAAAAAAATTTCCCAGGCCTAGCCCAGCCCATGGACACCCCTAAGTCTATGTCATCTTTTTGGTTTGTGTCAACAAATAGTCAATCAAAAACTTAATAATTTCATGTTGGGTTCATGTTTTGGTGATGACATATTGTGGAAAATTATCATCATGCAGTAGAAGAGGAAGAAAAGAAATAAGAAGAACAACAAAGTAGAGTAGTGTGCAAGAAGCAAAATAAAAAAAGAAGATCCCACTCTGTGCTTACCAAAACTTGTGTGCCGTTGAATCATGTCCCTCAGTGGTTGGTCTATGTCTACATAAAATATCTGAGTTAGACCATTTTGCAATGCCTTCAACTCTTTCTGGAGCATTTGATTGTAATCTCTGGCGATGGATGATAATGTCTCGACACACTCACGTTGATGAAAAGTGTTTGAATAAAGGGTGATGACCCCAGGCAAGCAACCCATTGGAGGTAGCCCAACTATGCCTATCTTCTTAGCCCCCTCATTCAGCAAACCCTACACTCAAAAGTTAATGAATTTTAACTCATTCATAGCACTAAGGTACCAAAAAATAAAATAAAATAAAATCTATTGTATACACAAAAATATTACTTAGGTTAAATTATAGTTTTTAAAGGAGAAATTACAACTATTTGAGGTAATTCATCATCGATCTTAAAATATGTGATTAATTATGAATTATTTCAATTAGTTGTAACTTCTTTAAGGATAACAATTTTTGACACAATACAAAAATACGACTCAAAATCAATATGAAATTAACGAGTTAAGATTGATCATTTTTCTCGACATGAACCCGTATATGACACAACCTGTTAACACGAATAATAAATGAATTGCGTTAGTGTTAAACACAAAAAATATAAATTGACACAATTAACACGTTTAAATAGTATTATAAGAATAAAATGCTAGTTTTTTATTATATTTTATCAAATAGTAACCTAATTCTTATATAAAAAAATATATTTTTACTTATTTTTATTATTATTTATTAAGTTAATTTTATTTTATAGAAAAAATATGAGCATAAGTTTAATTAAGTGAATGAAATTTTAGACATAAAATTAAGCATTAAATTTTTATTCATGAATTATATATGTCAACACGAACACGACATGAAAATAAATAGATCGGCATGACACAATTAGTTAAACTGTTTGGGTTATGGTTGACTAGTGTTTGATATGCACCCAAAAATGACAAGACCCGAGCATGATTCGACCCGACATGATTTTCATCGTTACATTTCTCATTTATGAATTGTAACTTGATCTTTAAAAATTATAATTTTCATGATAAATCATAATATTTGTGATTTCAAAAAATCATAATTTGAACTTAAAATATTAAATTTTTCGCTACAATACTTTCTTTGGTACGATAGTCTTCCTCGACTACTTGTATCGGTGGTCCATTGATTACTATAGATTCCCAAAAACCTTGGATCTCTCCATTGAAGTCATGTCTGCCCTCTATCCCTGTAATAATGTCTGACAAAATAGATATGCAATGAAAATATTTGACCATGTAATTTTCTCTATTTGTCCATATTGCAATGAAAATGCAATGACCTTGTAACTTTAAAATTCAACAGCAAAAGTGATGACTGTTAGATCAACTTCGAAACTCCATTGCACTTCAAATTGCAGGATCAAGTTGCATAGGTGATGCTTGGCAGTGATATCTGTGGGGTGGATCTTCTTAACTACCATTATAAAAGCGCATTAATAATAATGTTTGATGAGCCAATAATTTCTGAGTTTGACTACCTTCAACTAAACCACAATGAGAAATGTGGATCAGTGGTTGAGGATATCACTAACACAATATCTAAAATTACAGGAGAGAGATTGAACCTAACCCCTTGGCTTGTGAGGGGAGTCTAATTGGCTTAGTTTTAATTGTAGTTTTATTTTTATGAAATGGCAAAAAGTTCATAGCCTGTCTAAACTCTCGAGATGTAAGAGAAGTAGTTATCTAGCCCTTCGAATCATGCAAATATTCTCTTTCATATTATGTTGTTTTGAATCCCAAATAACTCTCTCGAAGTTGTAACTTGAGAAGTTTTGGCAGGGTTTGAATTATGCTTTACTTGAAATTATTTAGATCAATGAAACAATATTTACCAATCAGAAAAAAAAAAAAAAAAAACATTCTAGCCTTTCGGGACGTGCGAGGAGTAGTTAGTTTGTCAGGTTTTCTTCTATAGAATGTAGTTTGTTTACTCGAATTTTTCTTTCCCAAGTATACTTAGGAGAGTATTCAGACATGTTTTCATCTGTGTTGTATATCAATTTTTCTTTATCAATGACAAAATTCTATGATCAAACTCAAAAAATTGCAGGAAAGATAATTTGGAGTGCCTTCATGTATAATAGATGGCCTCATCTATATATGGCAGGGGTGCAATTATTAAGTAAAATATTCAATACTTGGGTAAAAATTTTCAGTACTTTAGCTGAAAAATTTGAATAATACTTGGATTGGGTTTAAACCAATTAGCAGATTCGGGTTAAACATGAGGTCAACCCTAATTATAACTTGGGCCGTGTAATTTAAGAATCAAATTTAGGCTCAACTCAAATTTTAACAGCAATTGAACACACCTTCCAGCTCAAATTGGTTAACATGAGAATTAAATCCCTATTTCAACCCGAATTTTTACCCCAAATGAACAATGTTCGTGTCAAAAAAGTTGAGGTTTATTAGGGTCTATGTTTAACTCGGTTGAGAGTTGTATAATTAAACTGAGTTGCTTTTATTTAATCTCTCAAACCACCCAACTCACTCAAGTTGCACCCATAAACTTTTCGGTCATCGGGTGCCCATTTCATAAAGTGTGATTTATCTCTTTGATAAAGACAGTAATAGGGGACAGACCTGTATGAACTGTTGGACATGTTGCATCAAAAATTGCTGGTAGCCAGAGACAGTGTAGCTTTGCCGACGAATCGGTGTGCCAAAATAATTGACCACAAAATCGTTTGTACCGGCGCTAACAATGAACCCAGCCTTGTTAATGAGGTTTTTGGTTCCTCTCTTTCCAATAGCTAGCTCCAGTTTGCTTTTATACTCTCTGAAGTATTCCAGTTGCTCAGACATTGGAATTACACCCTGCAAAATGGCAGCAAATTCATCAAAAATCAGTGCAGCCAATTGCGAAACTTAGCATGAATTGTGTAAAACCAAAACCAAGAATTAAGAGAGAGAGAGAGAGAGAGAGAGAGTTGGAAATCAATTGTTTTATTGAAGTGGCTAAATTGCCTGCTCTTTGGGGGTGCAACTGAGGTGGACTGGACAGGTTGAGAGATTAAATATTTGTGTTTAATTCAAACAATATAGTGTTGACCCAGGTTCTATGAGAAATTTACTGTTACTCCAAATTCGCGAATCCTCTACTATCCGATTACTATTATCTTTGTTTAGATTTCTAAACTCAGATTGAACTGCAATTACATAAATCATGTTGACTTTTAGGGAGCAGTTTTTCGAACTGAAAATGTAGTTCGATTCTAGGATTACACAGTTTAGGCTGAACTATGGGTTCAATTCGTGTTAGGCCTTCGTACTGTTCAAATTTATATCGGATTCGAGTATTTTTGCCTAAAAAAAATTCAAAAAAGGCATGTATTCTTTTTTTATTCATGATTTACAAAGTTTTTGTATATATTTATCTCGGCTTCTTGTTGCAGACATACTTTTGAATTCATGCAAAACCCAAACCATTCCTAACTGCTAGGAACTTTTGCTCATTTGTTGAAGAAAGAGAGCAAAGTTATGTCATTGACAAGAGTGTCACTATAATATGCATGAGAGAGAGAGAGAGAGAGAGAGACGCCAATCATCGGTGTCAATGGGTCGAACCCAGAGCCAGCTGAGGCAAAACTAACTCCAGTCATCAGCTCCTCGATGCTAAGCGTTGGGTCCAAATATGGTGGTACATAGTCTTTGACACCTACGTATGAAGCTGTTCCAAACAAATTAATATCTGTCATATTATTTGCACTCATAAACTCCCATTTTGCATCAAACTACAGCCAAAAAAAAACCCTAAGCTTACCGATAAAATCAGTCACGAGACGCCCATTGCAAAACCTTCCGGTTGGAGTGTGATTGACAAAATCTCTCCCATAGGGTGGAAAATTGCTCTTAAAAGGAGTGCCTATGTAGTTATTGTTTCCTGGATCAACCGTCGAGTCTCCAAATATAAAAACAGCCGAAATTGAATTGTTGAAAGGCCTTAAGGTTCGAGCTTGAGATCTCGAGATCAGAATCACCGCAATGAGAACAAAAAAGAGGGTTGAAAGAGGTAAGGCATGTGTGCATGGAGAAGTACTCATGGTTGCTGACACTCTGAGAATGACTGGAAACTAGAGCTTACCTTATATTGAATGGGGTGAGCTACATGTGACCTAATTTAATTTTGTGTACAGCTCCAATAAGTGTGTTAGTTACATGCAATTTCAAACTTTGGTTACCCAATACTATTAAATGGTGATATTGCTTTAAATGTGTTACTTTGCTTTACAAAAAATTTTTCTCGTGGGCCCTAAAGTTCTCTATCTCCATTGCCTACTTTGCTCTTTGGAAGAGGAGTTCTGATCTGTAACTATAAGTGTGGATTGATACACAAAAGTAGGTAGAAACGATGTTATGACAAATGAAAATAAATTGTTAATTTGCGCATAAGTACCATTCAATTCGAGGTGGGTCAAACTTCACAATCTAAAGTTCGGTCCAATAGTATTGTGATTAGATCTATGTTGGATGTTATGGGATTTGGTTTAATTAAATCGATACATTTTTAAACTTAGAAAATTACAGGGAGAGTCCAAGTATTAAATAGTCTTTTCTAGTATAAGACTAGCAAAGGGTCCAAAATCATATAAATAAAAGCAAACTTAATTCATGCTTATTGAAGCATCTCCGGACTCTACATCAAATGGGGAGATTTCTCATCTTCAGCCACATGCAGATAAAGATCAACACTAAAACTTAGACTTCACTAAGGACAAGACTTCTCCATTAGATTAGGATAAAATAAAGCATTAGTAATTTAGTTTTATACAAACACTTACTTTGTAAAGTACTATTAATATATACATACTGTTGGCTCCTTGAACGGTGAAGAAGCCATTGATATTTTACTGGTTTTGTTCCTTCAATGCAATTACCCAAACCTAAATCCATATCCACATCAATGTTAATGGGTCTAGGCGTTAATTCTAAAATAGGAGGCAGTGTCCGTATAATCTATATTTGTATCTATATCTATATCTATATTTACACTACTTATAAATGTTAATATTTGTGAAAAAATTTTAATTTTTTATTTTATCCATAATTATTATAATAAAGTCAATTATACCCAACTATATATTTTCATCTAACTTGTTTTTTACTACTTTTTGACTTTTAATTTGTTTTGAACTCTTTTATAAGTATTTATAAATTATTTTAAACTTATTTATTAGTAGTTCAGTTGCATACAATTTTTTATATTTATCTGAAGAATTAAAGTTTTATCTATGTTAAATTATTGCACACATTATCAGATTGAATTTTACGGTCAATATATATTACATAATTTTTTTGGTATACAATAATATAATAATATTATAAGTGATTCAATCAATCTATTTAAGAAAATAATAATTTATAATTTTATGATATAATTAGATGTAAATGTTTAGAAAAGTCAAAGAAATACTTAAATAAATAATAACATATTAGGTATTTAAAGACTTATAGAATAAATTAATAATTAAATTTAACAATAATTAAAAAATAAATTAATTATTTGACATCTAATTTATTATATAATTTAATTACACATATGATGTACATTTTTTTATAAAAATAATATTATTTTAATTCGTTATGCCAAATGTCAAGAGGCCTGTGTGAACTTTACAATATTTTAATCTGTGTCTTGATGTGAACTTTACAATATCATCACGAGATATTTTAATCTGACAGGTGGGTGGAAGAGCTACCACCCCAGATCATGAAGGCCGTGAGCAGGGAGGCAAAAGTAGGGTGAGACTGGAGCTTTTGACCAATCTCATGGGGATTAAAAAAAAAAAAAAATCTCAAAAAATGGTTGATTTGAAAATAATTTTTAAACTTAAACACTTTTAAAAAAGTCAATTTGTCTGACGTTTTTAGATTAAAAACGTAAGTTAATTAAACATTTTTATCGTAAAAATTTCAATCCAAATGACATTTTTAACCATACATAATGGCTAGTAAACTTCGTAAAAAATGTCATTTGAACTGACGTGATACGAAAAAACGTCAGATCAACCGACACATTCAAACATTTCTAGCACCACCTTTCTTTCTTGGAATATCTAATGTTTGAATAAAAAATAAATTAATATTTGTTTGGATAATTATCATAAGTGACCCCTAAATTTTTTCTTGGGTTTTAATGCAGTCCCTAAAATTTTAATTCTTTTAATTTAATCTATCAATTATCAATTTTATTTCAATTAAATAATTCCATTAATTTTCATAGTCAGATCAACTAGAGATTAGCCCAATTTGATTGATTTTAGCATTGATGTAACGATGAAAATAAATAAAAAGACTTAATTGTAACAAAACTGATAGTTGAAGGAGTAAAATAAGCCAAGTAAAAGTTCATAGATTAAATTCAAATTTGAGGTAAAACTCAGGACTAACTATGAAATTTACCCTATTTTTTTATAAAATATTATAAATGCATCAAATAAATATAAGTTCTTATCAATGGTAATATGATCCTAAATTTTTGTTCGACTTACAATAACATTTTAAAAAATTGAACATCGGTCGTTTTTTGCCTTTTTTTTTTTGAGTAAAATATTAAATGTTTATTTAATAAAAAAAGTTAATTAATAAATAAATTTTGACAATTTAAAAATAAATACACTGTTTTGCTCCTAAAAATGAGTTTTCTGCCTAAAAATAAATAAATTTTGATAGGTTTTCTACCTAAATATGAGTTTTTTTTTATTTATTTAAAAATTTAATTATATTCAATAAATAAATTTTGATAATTTAAAAATACATAAATTTCGTTTGTCCTACTGATGTTTTTCTCCCTAACAATGATACCTAAAAATATTTTGCTCCCTCTCTTTTTAAGAAGATGAGTTTTTTTTTTATTTATTTAAAAATTTAATTACATTCAATAAAAAAATTTTGATAATTTAAAAATACTTATATATTTTAGCATATCAAATTTTAAAAATTGAAAACGTATACATATAATTAATTTTAATTTTATCATATAATTATAAACGCACACATAAAATAAAAATAAAATTTGATTTGTAATGTTGATCATGTCAATATTAATGTTTAGTAAGCTGTGAAAAAATATAAGTTATTTAAACGTATACATGTAAAAAAAAGATGTCAACAACGTGGTTGATATTCAAAACAATATAAAGAATTATCGAATACACATAAACATGATGGGATAAAAGTGTCAGACGCATCATCGTCTAAATCAGAGAAATCAGAAAGTTCAGGATCAGAAACAAACGGATCCTCTAAAATTTCAATTTCAGCATATTCAAAATCAAAATGCTCTATTTTAGCATGATTGAGTGCATGAAATCAATCAAGACGACACTGCATTTGATCATTTTCACGTTCAAGCCTTGATATGATCTCGTCATGATTGTTTGAATTATGTGAATTGTAAATATCAGCTGAACGTGCCTTTGGTACCACAATTTCATGCCAACAACAAAATACTTTAAGGTCACAAAGTTTGTCATATAATTGTCGTCATCTTGGTGTGGGTTTGATATGAGTACCTGGAGGTGGATAATCAGTTGCAGGCCTAACAATTACATGTCCAGCTTATCCAAACGGATGATAAGGGTCGATTGGCTTATTGTGAAATGCATGCTTTCGTTCATACCACGTTACACCATTAGAATCAGTATATGATTCGATAGAAGAAATTTTGTTCAACGATGTTGAGCTGTTCATTGAGCGTTCACGTTTATTACCCCGAAGATGAACTATTGACATTGCGTGAAGAATAACTCGCATGTGATGTGCTTCTATACATTTTGTTTGGTGATGGTGCATTTACACAATTACGAATAGTAATATATATATATGCTCAATTTGACAATTAAAAATTGCAGTAAAAGGACATCAATCTGTATAGTTTGGAACTGATTTGACAATGATGCAAAATGACAATAAAAAAGTAGGGATATGACAACACACCGCATTGATTTGTGAAAATCATGAGATAGATTAAAGTAAATAGGTTATCACACTACAAAGTTGAGAACTGATTTGACAATGACAAGAAGTGACAATAAAAAAGTTGAGATATGACAACACACTGAATAAACTCATAAAGACACAATATTGATTAAAGCTCCAAATTACATAGACATAAATGTTATATGCTTAATATGGTTGACACTAATTAAATTTTTTACTTTCATAAATATATACTCATCGGATATGTATTGTTCATTAGACAATACATTAGATTGCTCAGTAGCATTAACTCCCTACCAAATGCAGTTACAACCATGTCAGATGCTATTTGGAGCATATAATATCGACACTTACGCAACATCATCCTATTATTCTCCCTTTTCGTACACATTTAACTGTTGCTTCATAGTTGATTCTATTCCTTCGCAGCATGATAAGTGAAAGTTTATGTGGCACCAGTATACCAAGTTCTCTCAGATTTGTGCATAATGACTGTGATTCAATAGCACGAAAACTCCACTCTCGACGGAGTCCGACATAATACTCCTTTGAATCAAAAAATTTCTCACTCATGTAATCATCATCTCGTTCTTGTAATAACTATACTGGTTCATGACTACGGTTGGTAACACCTACTTGTGCTCTTGAAGTAGACATAATCTACAATAAATGTTATAAGAACCACCCTATGTTATGTTTTTATAGTTGTTTTCATCGTCTAAAATAAAATACATTTGTCAGTAATGCAGTAGTGTGTAGTCAGGGTTTTGTTTGAGTTGATGGTCAAACAGTAAAAAAAAAATTGTGCAGTAAGTGTGACTACACACTATTACCTGTTAGCGTAACCAGACACTGGTATGCAGTGACTGTGAATGCACACTGATAAATGTACTACATTGATTTTAATAGACCCTGATTCATCATACGCCATAGTGATTCAGGTCTGCGCCGTATTGTAAGCGACCGTGCTGCAGAAAGGTGGATGCAAGAAACAAATTTAAGCTACCAGTTGAGTGGTGAAGATGGATGTATTTTTGATTATTACCTGTCTGACGATGATGAAGACCCATGAAGAAGTGTAATGGAAATCCTGTATTGTAAT